CCCCCCCCCCCCCACCCAACACTCCCACATTTGCAGCGTGCACACACATGCACACTTTTTTCAAAAGTAATTGTGTCTTTTTAACAAAGTAGAAATCATATAAATTTATCAAGTCTAACCTGCGTCATTTTTTATAGTCTAAAATTAACTGTTCGAGTTAATTGCAAAATATTTAAACTTAAAAAGTGTTATTTATTGAAATTAAAACCTGAAATGGTGAATAAAAAACTATCTAAAATTGAAGAGAGTATTTTATAATTAACCCTATAAACAATGATGTTAAAAAAAATAACATGAACATCACCTTAATATCCCATAATAAAAAGTAAACATATAATTTTAAGGGTAAAAATGATATGCTGGAGGTAATTTTCACTGGCATGTCAAAAGTTATTATAAAATAAACACGATGTTTGTACTTAAATTTGGTGAAATTCTAAAAACCGAGATGATTTGGGATTCAACCCTAATATTTTAAGATCAACCAAACCAAGTGTTTTTAAGTTGTAACTTGATTTTATTAAGCTGTGATTGATTGTTGTTTGTCATAACTTCAATAAATTGTAACAAGTCCGTACAGCAATCTTAGCTCGAAGTTGATTATCCCGAACCGAAATGATACGCATTCAAATAAAAGTACATGACTTTTTCTATACCGTGTCGATGTTGGTTGGAAACCTGGACAGCAAACAGGAAAATAGATAACCAGGGAAAAAAATAAACTTGCGGGTCTTGCAATCAAGAAGACTGAGAAGGTCAACAGTACGAAACCACCTCCCAAATTCCTCCCTTGTCTTCAACCACTCCCATCCCAATCAACGCTGTATTTTCTATTCAAACTTTCCATATTTACTTCACAGAATAGTCTAAAACTTTGAATCCTCCAAGTCAAAAGTCAATTGCCGAAGGGAGAAAAACCACCCACTGCAACTTCATAATACCCAGAACCCATCCATTTCATCACACCTTCCATTACAAACACCACTCTTCCAATTGAATTTCAGGTTCATGTTTTCTTCATCATCCTTCACCAGCCGATAGGTGCTACAGAAAGCGAAAGCTTCTGTCATTTGATACGATAACAATGGGTTACTGGAAGCTGCTTTTCTTCGCTTTCCATATCCTTACAAGCTTTCATGGCCTCTGCAATGGGCAGCCTGATTTCCGAGCCCACGTCTGTGGAGACAATGGTACTACCAGTATGTATGAGTCAAATAAGAACACCCTTCTCTCCTCCGTTGCTCCCAATATTGGTAGAAATGGCTTCTACAATTCTTCCGTTGGCCAAAACTCTGATAGAGTTAACGCAATTGCCCTATGTCGGGGAGATGTTGAGCTGGATATCTGTCGTAGTTGTGTCAATGACTCTACCCATAAGCTCGTGCAACTTTGTCCAAACTACCATGGGGCAATTGGATGGTATGATAAATGTATGTTAAGGTTCTCAAATTACACCATATTCCACCAATTAGATATTGGCCCAGAACGTTCTCTGTTTAGCCTTAACAACGTATCAGATTCAGACGTGCCTCAGTTCAATCAGGCACTACGCCTCATGTTGGACAGACTACGGGAAAAAGCTAAATCAGGAGATTCTTTGCGCAAGTTTGCTAGTGAGAGGACTAGTGGGCCTGCCTTTCAAACAATATATGCACTTTCGCAGTGCACACCTGATTTATCCGACATCCAATGTTACGACTGCCTGGATGGGGCTGCTAAAGCAATCCCGTATTGTTGCAATGGAAGACAAGGAGGGAGAGTTCTAAGACCCAGCTGTAATCTTAGGTTTGAGACGGAGCGTTTCTATAATGAAACTCCGGCTACACCACAGCCACCTCCAGGTATGGTTCTGATTAGGTGTTTATGATTAGATTGAATAGTTGAAGGATCTCCACCTAGCGGATACAACTATTTCCTCCTTTCCTCCAAAAAGTACAATGCTATTGGAAAGGTCTCCCACTCAGTTAGTCTAGAAAATATGGCGAATTTGAGGCAACATCGACCTGACAGGCATAAAAATGTCAAATATTTTTTTTATCCGCAAGTTAAATTAAAATAAATAACTACCAAAAAATAAATAAATTCAAAGGGTAAGGACAATAGGTTAGTTTACATGTTTTTGTTCAACTGAGAAATTTGACACACTATGATGAGTGATTTTCAGTAATCTATATAATAATTTGACCATCCATCACCACCCGCCACCCATCGTTATCCACCACCGCTGCCACCCACTGTCACGCCC